AAACAAGTTTAATTTTCAAAAACACAAGCGTTTTACATTCCCTAATCAAGTTTATTTAAAAACACAAAACACATTTTACACAAACACAACACACAACTCAAACAAAACATTGTTTCGCAAACTTAAACATTCAAACACAAATAACATACAAACAAACACGAAATTTTACAAACACAAAACAAACACAAATAAACACAAATACAAAAACAAACAAACACAAACAAACATAAAATACAAAGTTTTAATTATAATAACCAACTTCATCTATCGGATCCAACAAAGCAATTCCCATTTGTATAGCACACCCACCAATTGTTCTTCCCGTATGTTGAGGCACTCCTCGAGCATTAATTTTATAAAATAAAATAATTTTCTCCCACCAACTTGTAACATAATTTGTAGATTGTACTCCACACAATCTGCTTATTGTAAAAAATGCTTTAGGGCTTATAATGATCGGGACATCTGTTGATATTGTAGCGGAAATTGGCCAATCTGTTGAGGAAATTCCAAAAAATGGAAATAAATTGGAAAATATTGAACGAAGTAAATTACTTGATAAAACAATTATTTCGAAAAAATATTTTAAAAATTTTTCTTACATTTTTGTCTGCCTAGAACCAATAATTAAAGGGACATTATCATCCACCTTGTTTAATAAATCAAGCAAATTGTTTGTGTGGATATAACTGAAATTTTATTAAAATTTTCCAAATTTATTGAAAGATTTGCCTTTTCCCATCTGAAATAATAGTCCAAAGCTTTTCATCCCGTTTACCCTCGTTAATGGATTTATTGTCTACATAATGAAGAATATATCTAACTAACGGCCAGTCGTTTGTATTTAATGGAGAAGTTTGCCCTTGAACTAGCAAAATTCGAGAAGAAGCATTTAATACATCTTTAAATAAATAAACTTTAAAAATACAATATTAAATTATAATTTACAATCTTAAAAAAGTTTATTTGTTTTAGATTAAAACAAGTTTAAAATAAGATTTAGAACTTACAAACTTAAAAATAAAACTTAAAATTACAACTTAGAAATAAACTTTGAAATTACAATCTTAAAAATACAACTTAAAAATAAAACTTATGAACTTTAAAATAAACTTTGAAATTACAAACTTAAAAACACAACTTAAGATTAAAAATTGTAATCTTAGGCTGTATTTTTAAGATTGTAATTTCAAAGTTTATTTTTAAAGTTTATTTGTAAGTTCTAATTTACAATTTAAAAATAAACTTTGAAATTACAATCTTAAAAATACAACTCAAAAATAAAAATAAACTTGAAAATAAACTTTAAAATACAATCTTAAAAATTTTTACCAGCATAACGCTGTTGTAAACTTGCAGAATCAGTGAAAAACAACACTTAAAAATTACAATATCTTTTATTTTCAAAATTGTAAAACTTGCATTCTTTACAATCTCTTCCCCAAGTATCTAAAATAGCAGAAAATTCTTTTTCTGGTTTTTGACGTTCCCCTGAGGTTATTAAAACAATACAACGTAGCGTTAAATTTTGTTGTTGTTTTCTTTTTTGTTTAATTAGTTGAGTAGGTAAAATATTGAAGAATGGATCTAATCAAAATATTTCTTGAAAAATTTATTTATAAAATACCGGGAGTATGAATATTAACTGTAAGGAAATAATCATCATCGAACATACTAATGCATAAGCCTAAAAATATTCCTAGGGCAATGCCAATAAATAGCTGATTTCCGTTACTGAGCATACGTAGAGAAGTTGTCATTGTTAAGATTATTTATAAATAAAAGGTTGTGTTTTACAAATTGTAAAAAGTTTATTTACAAAATAAACTTAGTAAAGTTTTTGCAAAACATGTATTTGCTTAAAACATGTATTTTATTAAAACTTAATACTTTGCGAAAACACAAACAAGTTTATTTTTAAAAGCAAAATATAACAAAACATGCTAAACAAGTCTTTACAAACTTGTGTTTTTAAAACAACATGTTTTACGAAAAAAACACAGATTTTAAGAACCAAAGTTTTAAGAAAAAACACAAAAAACACAAAACACAAATTTTACAAACTTTAGATGTTTTGTATTTTCAAAAAAACACAAAAAAGTTTTATTTTTAGTGCACAAAACAAATAAAAAATACTTAAAAATACAAAAATTAATTTTTTAAAATTTGTTGCGCAGATCTAAAATTTTTTGTTACATATAAGGAATCGATTTTTGCGCATTTCGATTCTGATGTGGGGCGAATGAAAGTTGATGAAGAAAATTTTAACTGGAAGCGAGGGGAAAGTAAGGTAAACAAAGGCAAAAATAATTTTTCTTCAGTTTATGATGGCAAGGTCATCTATGTTTATTCTTATTGAAAATTTACTCAAGTAAAGGACAGAATTTTTTGATAATTAAAACAAATCAAAAAAATAATTTTTTAAAAAATCAAAAAAGTTATAAGAACGAGAATTATCAGTCGAGTAAAAAGAATAAAGTGCACTCACAACAATTATAAATCCAATATAATTGTTTTTGAAAAGTTTTTACAAGTGTATGTGATTGAAATAATTGAGTAGAAATTGAAGCAAAAAATTATTTTTAATCCCTAAAATTTATTGTAAAAACATTTTTAAAAAGTTTTACAATTTCAATGTTTTAAATTTAAATTTACAAACATGTTTGTTTGTCGAAAACACAAACAAGTTGTAATTAAAACCCAAACAAGTTTATTTTAAGAAACACAACAAGTTCTAATTCGGAAACAAGTTTAATTAAGAAAAACAAGTTTTAATTTAAAAAACAAGTTTAAGCTTAAAAACACAAATACCGTATTTACTCTATTAGAGCCCCATGGGGCTCTATTTTTCAACCTTCCTCCAAACGGGGGCTATATTAAGGAGGGGGGCTCTAATAGAGACGGGGGGCTGTATTTTTCAACCTATTTTTAAAATAGGAACAGGTTTTTCATTCAATTTATAGACTTTCTAACTTTTAAGATCAATTGTAATTTTAGCACAAAAACAAGATAGTTATTGCATGATAATGCATGCAACAGTTTTCCATTTCTCCAAAAGTTATAAAGCTAAGGTTTTATGTACTTTTGGATAAAGGATAACATTCAATTAGTCCATTATTTTTGGAATTCCATTGTTGAGGAATGTGGAGTACGAAGTATATCTAGGAATTTGTGAGGACAGAGGAATATAAGGTAATCTGAAGGATAAGGGGCTTCAGGGATCAAAAGTGATATGAGTTATTTATTTTATTTATTATTAATTGGTTTAACAGGTTGGGAATTAATGAGGGATTAAATAATAAATTTTACATCAAAAGATAGCCACCCATTATCTAAGCTCAACATCACGACTAACTTATCCTTGGGACAGCGATTGAAAAGTATTTGGTGAATATCAGGGAAAGAGCCGTCTCGTTCCTGGTGCCTACAAGTACGTCCTAAATGTATATGCAAAGGGAAATCACTTTTTCATTCATCAAAATAGTTGTCAGCTGGCCGATACACGAGTCTTATAGGGAAGAGCTCTCTCTATATTCCCCCATTGCGTACGATTTAACTATTTTTTATAAACTGTGTTATTCACACATGATTGAAACATGCGCGACTGAGACTATAACGAGGGACTGGGGAACGGGAACAACATTTTTGCTTAAATTATTTATTTGACATTTGACAAAAAGGGGGGCTCTGTTAAAGAGGGGGGCTCTAATAGAGACGGGGGGCTCTATTTTTCAACCATCCTTGAAACGGGGGCTTTATTAAGGAGGGGGGCTCTAATTGAGAGGGGGGCTATAATAGAGTAAATACGGTAAGTTATTAAAAATATTTTTTATTATTCAAAAACACAAGTTTTAAGATTGATAAAAACACACTTGAAATTAACATAAAAACAAACAAAACACATTTCTAACAACAAAACACATTTTTAAATTAACTAAAAACATGGTTTATGTATTTTTCTTGTGTTTTATTTTATTATTTATGTATTTTCTTTTTTTTGTATTTTCTTTTTTGTATTTTCTTTTAATCCATTTAATAAATGTTAAGCTGCAGAAGCCACCCATGCATTAAAAACTATCAAGTAATTGTTCCAACTGCTAAATAAATAAAATTATTAAAAAATTTTTTTATTTTCAAAATAATTTTTATTTAATTCCTTTGTTTTTAAAATATTGATGATTTTATTTACAACATTTTTATTTTACACAATGGAAAAAGGGAAATAAAAGCTTCTTTCTTCCATTTATTTAGAGCTTATCTCATGGGAAAAGCGCATTTTAATGTCGAGAACTGGCCAGTTCTTTATATTTTTGTTCCTGCTTTTCATCATTTGATTTTGTAAAATTACCCAGATGTTGAAAAAGTATTTTTCTGAATTTTTTAGAATTTTTTAGAATTTTTTAAAAATTATTATAACGAAAAAAATGGAAAAAAATCGCAAATTTTATCAAAAAATTCTTTAAAAAATTTCCATTTTTCCAATTTTTTTGGAGTATTTTCTCGTTCGAATGCCATTCTTGTTTTGCCATTCTCTGTCTGTTAGTAGGTATATATTTATTTTTATTTTACCCAATACTAGCAAAAACATTTTGGCCATCCATGCTAATTCTATTCTACACGCATCCACACTAGCTCTATATTTCTATTAATGCTTTTTCTATTTTATGCGAGAAAATGCATTGAATTGATGAAAAAATTTTTTTTTCATTTTTTTAAATTAAATGAACACAGACAAAACTTTAATTTTACTTTTTTTAAATTAAATTTTTTTTTGGAAAAAATATTTTTATAAAAATAAATTTAAAATTATAATAAATTATTAAACAAGTTTTTAATAAATAATTTATCGCTTCACTTAATTTTTAAATAATTATTTTAAATTAATTATCCAATAATGGGAACCACCCATAATTAATGCTGACTTAATTAATACTTAACCTATTTAATAAATTAATGTTTTGTAAAACATGTTCATTTAAATGTTTTATTTGAATATTTATTTGAACAACTACAAATTTCTTTAAAAACAAACATCTTGTATAACACAAAACAAACTTTTTATAAAACACAAACACAAACGCAAACACAAACAAATAAAGAAACACAAACATAAAAATAACACAAACACAAACATAAACATAAAACACAAAACAATAAACACAAACACAAAACAAAAAACACAAAACACAAATATAAAAACAACACAAAACACAAACATAAAAATAACACAAACATAACAATAAACACAAACATAGCAATAAACATAAACACAAAACAATTAACACAAACACAAAACAAAACTTTATTTCAAGTTTGTAATTCTATTCATTCAAGTTTATTTTTAATTCAAGTTTATGCTTAATTTACTTCAAGCTTGTATTCCAAGTTCTTTTAATTTTCTTTCAAGTTTATAATAAATAATGTTTCTATTTATTTAATTACAATTATAACTTAAGTTTTTACAATTATATTGTTTCTTTATTATTTTAATAAATTTAATTGTATTTTTTGTATTTTCTATATTTCAACAAAATTTTCAGAATTTTTATTATTTATTGGTTGTCAACAGCAACGAAAATTTTCTCGAAACGGGGAGATTTTTTTTAAATAATCGTTCATATTTAATTTTTTTTGTTCAATGCTAATTTATTCATCTCGTTCCTCTCAACAGCAACAAACAAATTTATGGACTGAACAATTTTCTTTTGAACGGCAAAAACTTCGTTTACAAATTGCTAAACAAATTCGAAACCAAATGTCTTCTATTGTTGGTAAATTAATTTTTTAAAGGAAAATTTTTATCAAATATTAGGGCATCTTCCAACTGCCGATTTGTTGTTAATAACCTCTGACAGTCAAAAATTACCTGCTCATTTGTGTATATTAAAAACACGTGCTCCTTCTTTTTACAAACGTTATGTGCAGCCTATTTGTAATAATGGACAAAGTAAATAAACTTTTTTTTACAATTATGAAATATTAAGTTTACAATCCGAAAAAATAAATACATATATGTTTTACAATTATTATCAAAATCCGTTTTGCAATTATTAATTAAATAAAACTTTTTTTACAAATCTAAAATAATTTTACAATCCGAAAAATTTAAAAATTTTACAATCCGAAAAATTTTACAAAAAAAAAAATTAATATTTTAATTAAATAAACTTTCTTTTTTACAATTCTGTAATTAATTTTACAATTCTTTTTACAATCTTAGCAGCAACCTTACAACAACCACAACTCTTAGAAATTCCAGTAAATATTGAATTTAGTGCATTAGAATTTTTTATTCGCTCAATTTACACAGACGAGGAAGTTTTGGAAATGGATATATCAACAAATTTAAATAAATTGAACGGGTCTTCGGTTGACGATAATAATGATGATACAGAAGGAAATTTTGAAAGTCAAAGTAGTGGGAATGTTCAAAATTTTTCTAGTAAAATAAATTTGAGTCAAAATCAGCAAATGTCAGCTTCGTATCCCTCCCCAAACTCCCCTCGAGAGATGTTAATGCCTGGGACTACAAATAATTCTAGCTTGGCAAACAGTGAAAGGAGGTGTTTGAGTCAAGAAATTTTTGGGTAATAAGGGGGGGGGGATATTTTTAAAATTTAAATTTCGTTTATAGACAGACAGCAGACGATAATCAAGTGAGAAAACATTCAGCAATCTTTCCATATTTTATTAAAATGGGAATAGAAGAAGAGGAAGAAGGTTGCAGTACAAGTAGAACATATTGTGGCAGTACAGGGGTAATGAGTCGGAGTTTGCCCCTTTCAACCGGTAGCAATAGAGGGGAATCGCCTCATTCAAGAGATAGTTTTGACGTAATTTTTAAATATGTTATATCATTAAGATACAAGTTTCTTGGGGTGGGATAGGATAGAATTTATCAACTATTCCTATCCTTTAGGAGGGGAGGGGGGGGGGGGGGAAGGGGAGAGGGGTAAGGCAGAGTGTATCAACTATTCCTATCCTCGAGGAGGAGGGTGGAGGGGGAGGGGGGAAGGATAAGACAAAGTTTATCAACTCTCCCTGTTCGCTGGGTGGGATAAAACGGAGTATCGACTCTTCCCATTCATGAGGGTTCGGGGGAGGGGGGGGTGAGATAGAGTTTATTACCTTTTCCTTTCATAAGGGTGGGAGGATAAGATAGAGTTTATCAACTCTTTCCTTTATCCCAACATTTCCAGTGTAACACAATCCGCGGCCGTGCAATAGCTGCTCGTCGCCGTCAGAGTTTATGCTCTTCCCTTAGCTCACTAACTTCAATAGACATCTTAACCCCTACACAAGAAATTGCCCCAGCTCCCGTTTTTGACGATCAAAATGCAGCAGCTAGTAAATTAGCCGGAGATTTACTTAAAATGCTCGTGGAAGAAAGAGATTCGGCCGATGTACTTTTATTGGCAGCTAATGGAGAACAAGAAAAAGCCCATTCATGCATATTGTGGGCATGTGGATCTGAATTTTTTAGAGTAAATAATAATTATATAGTGAACTTACTATAAGAAATACCAAGATAATGGACATACCTCAATTTAAGATTAAGGGATACTTTCCATTTAAGAGAAATTCTAGTTAAGTTTAGTTTAACCACTGGTCTGGGAGGTGTTTAGCGGATGATCAAGCTAGGTGAGAGAGGAGGGGCTGTCTAAGCTAGGTGCCAAAGCCAGACTACCTACTATAGGTTATGTGGGGAGATAGAGGGAGAGTTGCGTGAGCGATACTATAAATTTAAGATTAACCTTATTATGTTATGATTCAATTTCTCAACCCCCAAAAGGGTATGTATATCTATGTATAAGGTCCGATTGTAGCTGTAATTAAAAGTTAAATCCAAAAATTCAGGAACAAATATCATCGCAATCCACACGTCTTTACAATATAGACTTGCCTCGATTTTCTCGAACTTCTGTTGCCTTTCTTCTTCAATTTATTTATGGGGGATTAACCTGCCTTCCTGCAACTATTGGGAAGGACAACGATGCAGAGCTTTTGGATCCATGGGAATTGGTTGAATTGGGGGCCTTTACTAAAGTGGAAAGTTTTGTTAAAGTAGTTGCTTTACATCTAAGAGCTGTGGTAAATTTTTGAGGCTTATTAAGCTTCCCAAAAATTTAATCAAAACACTTAAGCACTGCCATTTCTTTCACCGTCCATGTGCTTCTTGCGTTTCAGCCGTTTTTGAGGCATTACCCAAAATTGAGCGTGAAATTCCCGTAAAGTTAAAAATATTTTTATCAATTTATAAATGATTATAGGAATTAAAACAGCTTTTTAATGATGCAATGCAATGGCAAGCTGCGCATTTTACTCGTATTTGGAAGGGTATTTAATTAAATTATTGAATCCCTATAGACTAAACTTGCGATTAAATTGGGGGTATTTCTGGCTCTAAGAGGCTTTTTCCACCAGCTTAAATCTTAAATTCTCCCAGCCTGAATCCAGCCGAATTTCCTCAGTTTTTAGCAACTTAGGCGAAAATATTTGGAATTTCAGAAGAAAAAGAGCCTGAAATTCTTCGTTTTCTGAGTCTTGTTTGGGCTCCGAAACACCATCAAACAAACAATATATTTTCTAAATGAAAATTTATTCTAGGCCGCATATTTCTCCATCTTTCCTTCCAGTGGCAAAAACATTGTAGAGATGTTCTTCTACAATCCATAGGTACTTGACCAAAATTAAAAATCTCTTTTAAATCCCAATCAGATGAAGAAAACGTTGTTGATGTCCTCTTAGGTTGCGAAAAGCTTAATTTAGCTTTACCCAGAGTGAAACAACAAATATCGGCACAACAAGTACTTAAGCTAGTTAACGATGTAGAGGAATATTGTATGGAGTTTTTAACGAGTTCATTGGATTCGTTAATTCAATCCAAAGCCTTCTGGTTTGCAAAATCATCAATCAAAAAATTTAAAAAAATAATTTTTTCTAGTTCCTACGGGAAGGGTTTAGCATTGAATCTAGCCCTCCTTGAAGATATACTTCCAACATTAATTCACTCTCTATGTCCAGAAACAACTATACGAACGTTTGTTGCTCTAAAAGAGTTTGTAATAACTCAGATACTTGGAGAAAAAAATTTACAAATTAAAATAAAGTTTAAATTTTGATGTTTAAATTTAATAATCATGAAGTTTTACAGTAGTAAGAATGTAATGCAGAAGCGGAGCTTTGATAGTAGCAGTAATACAATGATTAATACAGCTCGGGAACAACATAATTTATTGGTAGAGGAATGGAATCCTGTAGGAATTTTAATTATACTGACAGACTTCTCCATAAGATACACCTCTCTATATAAGATACACCTCAGTTTAAGAGACGTTTTTGAGAGATGAGATAACCACACTGTGATAACTTCTATATAAGATACACCTCATTTTAAGAGACGTTTTTCTATTTCCATTTGTTCACTATATTCCCACAAAATTTTTTATGGTAATAAAGAGCTCAACAAACCCAGAGTTATTATGGTACAATACCGGACCATTAGTTCTACCACGCACGTAGAACTGCTGCTCATGGAAGTAGATTGCTGCTCATGGTGCTGCTGCTCATGGAAGTAGGCCATAAGCTGTATTGGTTGGTCAATTAATAGGAGAGATGCTTGAGCGGTACATTCTATTTAATATACACCTATTTATAAGATAAAATCACCACGCCTAAGGGTGTATCTTATAGCTAGGTCCGACTACGATTAAATTTTTCAAAAAATTATTTCAAGTTTTTCAGCGGTTCAAGAATCTTTGCCTTAGATTAATTGATTTACTCGAACGACATATGTTCCATTATGCTTGTTCTATAGTTAATTCAACCGAATGGCCTTTATTAAGTGTGGAGGACCAGAATCGTGTTAATGAATGTTAGATTTATTTGTCTAAAAATTTCTAAAAAATTTTCAAAAATTTTTTTCAAGTTGGACTTTTCATTGAAATGCGAATGCCTAGAATTGCCCCACCTCGTCTTTCAAGCGCTTCAAGCCATAATTATTGCAAAAGATCATCCTCTGTTGGGATTTATTCAAGCCATCCAGAGAGGGAATTAATTAGAAATGAAACAATACTAGTGCCGGAAAGGGCTAGGTCGATGGAAAGGATTAGAGGAGGCGTTGATGGACGTGCAGGAAGTAGTAGAAGAACTAGTAGACAGATAAGTGGAGGTTTCTATTCGAGACCTTCTTCACTAGCTATTCAGGTTAGAGTCTGTTTCTTTGTTTATGTCCTACAAGATACCTCCTAAAATTCAGGTAGAAGAGGAGAATTTATATGAAAGTGATCAAACAAGTGTAGCAACAACAACTACAGTACAACTTGAAAATGAATTGACAACTCAAATTGGTACAAAAAACGATCAGAAGTTGGAGAAGGAAACGGGAACTAAAATCTCAGAAAAAACTACAGAGAAAAATTCTCCGAATAATAAAAATTTAAAGGATCCGAAGCAATTTGTTACGGAAAAAGAAATAGAGAATATTCAATCAACATCGACAACTACAATTGATTGTAGTGATCAATCATTACAAAATTTGGAGAATCAAAAAAGTTTGAAGGAAAATGAATTATCAAATACGGAAGATAAAAATGATGAAAATTTTGAAGAAAAAATTTCTGAAAATTTAATTATAAATGAGCAAATTGAAGGGAAGGAGGGTAGTAAAGAAGAAGATATTCAAGCTAATCCAGATCGAAGGGTAAAATTTTTTTTTGAAATTTTGTTTGACTGACAATAAGACTTGAGAAAGAGGCCGGAGTAAGACGAGATCATGAACAAAAATCTAGGTTATCGAGATACAGATTTTTGAGATATTCCATACGACTCTCTCAGTTTGTTTTCTTCTTGAGAATATTTTCTGAAAAAAATCAGGATTTGTAAAAATATTTTCTGGAAATTAAAAGTGTAGCCCTAGGAGGCATCGACCCTGAACTTTTCTTGCAGCTAACTTACTGTTGCTATACTGACTAAGATATCGGGGTGCTACTTCCATCTTCTCTTTTAATAATAAATCTTAAACCACCGTCTAGTAAGCTAGCTGGATCTCTTTCTTCCTTATAAGCTTCTCCCTCAGAAAGAAAATTCACAAATATATTTTAATAAAATTAAGCAATCCGTTCCTTCAATAACTCTGCGCAATCGACAACGTACCCATACAATATTAAATGTTGATAGGAAATCTATAGCTGCTGCAGCTCACCAACACAGCAACGTTTTAATAGCTAATAATGCTTCCAATACTGAAATAAAGAAGAATGCAGCAAAGCCTCACTCTATAGTTAGACCAATGCCTAAAGTGAGTAATGGACAGGCTACCATCTCCACATCAGAAGCAACTACCCCAGAATCCTCGTCAGCTCCTTCCACAATTCCTTTGGAAAGAAGAGAGAGGCGAACTAGCAAACAACCAACAAATATTGCTTCAACTTCAATTAACAAATTTGGTAAAATTGAAACAAAAGTACAAAAAAAACAAACTGGTGGGGTTACTCAAGGAGTACCACAACAACAACAACAAAGAGTAGGGCAACAAAAAAGTGGAATTAAGAAACCAACAACTGTCACTAGAAAATAAATTTTTTTTTCATTTTATTATGTACTTGGAGGGGTTAATAATACACATTATTTATATGCTATTGTTTTAGAAAATTATTATTAAATGGATTCAAAAATTTGGATAAAGTTTATGAACGCATGGGTGTTGGGAAGATATGTTCGAGTGTTCGCCGGAATAGAGTGGATCGCTGTTAAAAATAGTTGGGGTGAATGGTCATATAATATTTAGACTTATACGGACTAACATTATCCTAAATTTGATGCTTTTTGACTTTTTAAAAATAAAAAAGAGCATAAGTGCTAAATCATTCTCCATTCCTCGATCTAATTAGGACTAAATTAGAGTGATAAATTATTCATGATTTTTTAAAAATTTATTTTTTAGTTGCTTTAAAGCTTTTCAAAAAAGAAAATTTTAAACAATTTTTTTTTCAAGTATTACAAGTAGAAACCCATCTATGTTCCAAACAGTCCTTACATTCCACTCTGCAACACCAAATAAATTTACATTGGCATTTATAGGGAACAACTTGATGCGAGACCTTTTATTTTAAAATTTATTTGACAATCGCAAATATTTTTAAAAATTACCGTATACCCCTTCCCACAGCACAAATTAGTACAATCCCCTTCAGTGTAGGTAGCATTCCTCCAACTACAGATACGAGGTAGGGACCGTTTTCTTTGATGATCGTAATGAAATTGGGAACAAATATTCAATCCGTTGTCGGTATATACCTAAAAAATTTCTCGAAATTAAAAAAAATTTTTTCTACCAATTCAGAACTGTGCACGTTAAGTTGTCCATTGGGCAAAAAACTCGCAACTTTAGCGGTCCTATATTTATGTGCTAAATGTCTGGCAATAGAATTTAAATCTGCTGTCTTTTTCCAACATGTCTTCTAAAAAATTTTTGTTAAAAAATAATTTTTGAAAATTTACTTGTTGACAACTTCCACTAACACCATGGCAAGTACACGATGATGTTAAAGTTCTTCTAACAGCCTAAATAAAATTTTTATGTTTGTAGGCTTAAGAGTATAAAGATATTTTTAATTTATAGTAAAATTCCTTTAAATCTAATCTCAATTGCTCCTAATCCCCCTATATCCCTCTATTGGGATTCATGATTTTAGCGCAGCAGGTAATACGCTAATAATCAAGAATTAAGCAAATTGAAAAAAATTCCGGGATACTGTAATTTGAGTGTTCCAAAAGGGAGAGATCCTGCAGGATTGAAGGGAGAGATCCTGCGCTTCCGGGGCGCTGGTAATTCCTTTGTCGCTTAAAATCCAGGATTCTAATACGGGATCAAGAAAAATTCCGTACAGATCCCTTCCATTGTGATCTTTAATTCTCTACCATTCTTCCAACTTTTAAGTTGTGTTTTTCCAACTTGCGCAATAATTGTTATTTGTTTGGCTTCCCGTTATGTAAACTTGACGTTCGTGTTAGCAATTTTCTGGAAGTTACAACTCCGTATTGGACACCATATGAACAACTAAAGTTTCATTAAGATCAACCACTTTAAATTGTAAAAACTAACCCTCCCCAATCCCATTCAGATATTCTTCTAACTTGATTTGTTGTTTTACTTTTTAATTCCCCCATATTATTAACACATTTACACTCATCTAGCCACCCCTGGGCACAAGCTGTAGCAATCCCCCAAGCAACACCAGCTGCAGAAATAGCCCATAAATAGGCAGATTCGGGTAGTGCTAGAAGAGAGAGGTGATATTTTAAATTTTTAAAAGAAACATGCTTAAAAGACAAATCCTAATCCCACAGATCCCTCAATATTCAAGATTAATTCTTTTACACCAAAATCCTGTTAATTTATTAATATTCATCGATAACCTATATCACTTTTAATCCCTATATCTTAATCCCCTCGATTCTTAGTCCACTTGATATTGCTTTTGATCTCCACCAGTGGCGGGCGCAAGAGACAATCTTCAAAAACGCCATGATCTCCACTAATCCCTTCATACCTACCTTCTTAATCAATCCTTATATTTACACCAACCTAACTATATTAAACCAAAATCCCCCTTTGAGAAATCCACCAAAGCTTAAATCCTAAGTTCACAAAATCAAGTTTAGGACTCAAAACCTAAGCAATATTACAATGTTTAGTAAGTGCAGGTTCGTGCAATATAGTCCCAGAATGAGAACAATCCCAACGTTCAAACTTCATTTGTTGTCTACACTCATCCATAGCTTCCAAAATACCCTAAATTAATTCAAATTTAAAATTTCTAATAAAAACCAAACTTCATAAGCTACAATAGCTAATGCTGGCTGTGTTTTGCATAGAAGAGGAAATTGCCGAAAAGTGTTTAGCTGTGTTAATTCTTTTGGGCATCCCTTAAAATTATTTTTATAAAATTTTTTGAAATGTTTTGTTTGAAGGTATGCCCTCTGATATGATAATAGATGGGAAGGGCTTTGATCAAAATAAAAATTTTTAGTTGACCTTGGTGTCCTTGATATTAGTTACCATAATTCTGCATCAGTCCAAATATATTTTTCAAATCTTAACCAATGCGGAGTGTTAGGCGTTTAATGGATTCGGGTCAGGGGTTTCATATCCTTGGCATATGCTCTGCCACAAGGCATTTAAAATTTTAGCTCTTGCTCCGCAAGAGAATTTTTGCTCAATTTTAGATTCCAAAGCAATACTCTACACTGATATTAACACAAATTTCTTTAAATTCCTAATCTCTTATTATTGGATAACACAGTTCTGTATAGTTTTTAACATACTTTAAGCAACTTTTCAGGCTTATAATTAAAATTATTATTTAAATATGAGCGTGTATTTGATGGGTGTTGAAGGCTAATTAGTTCTTTAAACGAAGAAAATTCAAAACTGTTTAATGAAGCAGTAAACAGTGAAATAATAAATTTAAGAAATAAAATGATAGAAGAATATATGGGCTTCATAGTAATTTTAGTAATCTGGTAGACTACCTTGAAAATTAGCCTAAAAATTAAAGAAACTATGAATTTTGGAGGGATTTTTATTCAATTTTTAGAATATTTTGAAATTTAAATCCTAGGAGTAGTAATATTCTAAGGTATATTGGAGGGGATGAGGAAGGAAAAGCTTTTGAAGAATTATAAAGCTTTGGATTAAGCTGATACGGAACAGGGATGGGTCGGGTTACCCGAAACCTACCTTAAAAATTACCCTGAAAATAAATGAAAATATGGATTTTGGAGGGATTATTATAAAAATTTTGGAATATTTTGGAAATCTATAGACTGAATATATACATGAGAAACAAGGAAGGATAAGCTGTTGAAGAATTATAAAGCCTTTTAGGTCAGCTAATACGGAACAGGAATTGGTTGGTTTACCCTAAACTTAAGGGGTTTTTCGACCAGAACCCCGACATGACTTTACTCAGGCCTGCTCCGGAATTTTAATATATATGCTTTTAATATTAATTGAAACATAGAAATATTTAAATAATTTATTAAATTAATTAATCAAAAAATTATTTTTTTCCTTTCCAAGCATTACAGTAGTCGTAAAATTTATCTGATTTGCGCATAAAAGAGCGCGCGAGGGTTATGAATAAAAATTGGTTGTAAAAGAAGATTGCGGAAAAGTACTAAACTTGTAATACATAAATTAGAAAAATCGGGTAGAGGGGTGGAGGAGAGGGGGGGGGGGAGTAAAAAATATTTTTGTTGTTGCTCGTAAATTTGTTTTTGAATGACAACGCGGGACAACAAAATGAAGAAGAAAATTGGAGTTATAAATGCGCAGCTTTTTTAATTGTTTTTGGTGATTCCTTTTGAATCAAGAAATTGGGAATTGGGTGTGGTATGGAATTTAGATGGTTGAATTTGGGTATTTTATTGCTGCCACACCTGTTGAAGAAAGACTTTGATATTCTATCATTTTTAAATTTTATTTAAAAAATTTTTTGATCCAAAACTTAATTAGGATTTTAAACAGACGTGGAAATGGACACGAACACAGATAATTTTTGCAAGTGGAAAAATATTCGGATAAGGACGTGCACATTACCAAGTCTGATTTTGAATTTATACTTACAGAGTGACAAAAAAGAACCAGTATCTTATTTTTGTCATAACCCTAAACTAATCACAATAATGAGATTAAATCAAGATTATATGCTAGAGAATTCAACACGGAATAAACCTCGAAAGTATAAGATTTTTTCAATCTCAAGAAAGCATATAAAAATAAGTCACGAATGTATCCGAAATTTTTTAATCGGATCAGATTTAGTATATCTGACTTGTTCCAAGCTTATCTCGCTTTCATTAATTCATAGAGTAAACATGAAAATTATGAGATTAATCTAAAAATTGCCCAGTAAAATAAAAATTGGTTAAAAATATTTTTTCCGACAAATGAAAGAATTAAAAAAAATTTTTAATTAAATATATGCGAATATTTTAGAGACACACACAGATGCGCAACATTTTTCCTCATTGTAAAAAATGATTGTTTGTATTTAATTTGAGTCAGCCGTTTTTTGATGTTTAATGCTTTTTTTGAAAGGAATATTAGTGAAAAATGATTAAATTATTGAAAAAAATCAAAAAAAGATTTTGATTTGACTCAATCTCGTGAATGAATATTTGAATTTTTGCTGAATACAATAATGACACCGATACAATTTATGTATGTTCAGAAATTTTCTCGAAAAAATTGAACAAACTTTAATAACTCCATGTATTTTTGATGGATATAGTAGTACCGATTCGATATTTCGGTAGTACCGCGGTGGTACCGAACTGTGCCGAACACTAATCCCATTCAAAAGATCTCTCAAAATACACAAAACATTGGCTCCGATCTTTGTATCTGCGATTCAGACGTGAAAAATAAATTCTCTATTTTGGAAAATCTGGATTACGACTCAAAAAACAGCCCATCCCCTAAGGACATCGCTCTTCATAGCGAAATACCACTTTAAATTCCATACTCATAATTTTTTCATGTATTCATTTAAAAAATTTCATAAAATTTAATAATCAAGGACATTCAACTATGCAAAAAATTTATACTTATGTTATATATCAAAAAAATTTTTTTAAGTTCAAAATAATATTCGTCAAACATAATTCTGCAAAGTATAATTATCTTTTTGTTTTCAAAAAATATTATTCATTTATTCGTCAATTAAAAAAGTAAAAAATTAAAAATATAGAAACAATAACAACAATAAAATAAGAATTTGGCAAAGATCATCTCTTCTTTGATATATTTTCATAAATTTTGTTTTGATTATTAAAATAAAATTATTAATACATTAATTAAATTATAAATTCATGTGATGGGAAACAATCCCAAATATTTTGCAGAAATCCAACTATCCATATTAACAATGAACTAGCTCCAGATAGGTATTCGAATCTGATTATGCCTATAAAAATTGATCAGCATGAAGGCCTTTGGCAGAAGTTTAAAAGTGAAAGACAAAACATCAAAAAAGACCCCTGGTCTTAATGGAAAAAATCCTAAACTATCATCAACTGGAAGCAGACCTGTGCATGGACACGGGTAATGGTATCGATATATACGGCGGATACAGGCGGATATCCGCAGGCATGTTAATATTATCGGTATCCATATCCGTATCCATGCACAGGTCTGACTGAAAGGACTCTTTTTCGTTCTTGTATCATATGTAACAGATTTTAAATCTAAGTTATAAAATCTACAGTTTAATTGATCAATGCTCTTATGATCTAATAAATATACCCACATATTTCACTATTATAATTTAAATAAAAAATAATAAAAATCTATATTTCCTTTACTGATTAAAAGATTTAATTCATATAATGATTGATTAACTCCTTCCCTCTCCTTTTTAATTTTTTTGGTGAAAGAATTTTTTGTTTAAAAATTGTATATTTGTAAAATATTAACAATCATTTGATGGGCTGATTAAGAAATTTGGTGAATAACTAATTCCCCTCTTGACTCACTTTAAAAAGAAAATTGTGAATGACTTGATCAATTAACACAAAAATTTTCTTTTTACAACCCCTTATTTAAATAAATTTGTTCTAGAACAAAAAATATTTATTTAATTGACAGATTGTGAAATTATTAATTTACATTGATTTGCGTTAACTTTCTTGTTAATTGATATATTTTTATTTATTCAAGTCTAGACATTTATCAAACATTCTTTAATTTTTTTGTCAGTTTTATTTAATTTCTGATAGCTCCAATAATTCAGAATAGAGCACATCATTTGCTTCCTTCAGTCTTTCAATACCTTCATTATTAACTGTCATTATTATTTAGTAATTTTTGGTCTATCTATATGATATATAATTTAGTTATATGGATAAGGACTGATCATTAGAGCTGGGAAGAACATGTAAATGCATGTTTGCATGCTGATATGTGAGAGTATGTATATTTTTTCCCAAATTTTTTGAGATTATAGTTCCCACCTCGAATAATTCTACATACTTAGGTTGAGTTGAAAGATAATTCCAGAGGGGAATTAATATATAGAGCATATTTATCGTACATAACGACTTCCATACTCGAACCGGAACATACCGAACCCCATTTTTTAAACTTGAAGTACACCTATGGACATAAAGACCTCTTAATTAATATATTCTTTGCTATTCGGTAAAGAAAATCTCCAAATTTTTGCATGACTAATATTCACAATAATTTATTTTTACAAAAGTTCAAGTGTTCTCACAGAATAACAAAAATCGTCATAACCCCATAATATTAAAGTACTGCCAGTAAACGTCACAAAAAATTCGCCAAATTCTTTCATAATAAAATTTCGGTATTTCTTTTTGAAATTTTATTTGATTCACATTTTTCTCCCCCACACAAACATAAAGAATTGAAAGTCCAAAAATTTTACTTAATTAAATTATACACGTCACTTGAAGGCGTGTTACTAAATAAAGTTTTTTTTTGTTTGATCGGAAATTTATATAAAATAAATATTTATTTAAATAAATGTCTATCATTATAATTTTTTAAAATTATTTTCCCCAAAAAATATTTTTTAAATACTCTAATAATATTTTTAAAAATTATTAAACTTAAATTTTTAAAGACAAAAATAGTAATAATTGTTTTTATTACAATATTTTAATTTAATATATAAATCAAAATGCTCGGAATGATGAATTGCCCTACTGAAGTAAGTCTTTAAATTTTATTTTAATAATTATCAAAATGTTTAAGAATAACATGGGTATAAATTAAAAAAAATTAAAATTCATAAGAATTAAGTTTGCCAAAGGTTAGGAGGGAATTAGGACATAACAGAGGGGTTTTATTAAAATCGAGTTCAACATAAGATTAGTAGAAGTTAGAGAGCGTGCTGGATCTGGATTCAGACCTTGATTTTCCTGGATCCAAAGTCCAGATCAAGGCATTTTTCATTTTTCAACCAATGATCAAGGTCAAGGTTTTTTTGAAAATCTCGCTCTCTGCTAGAAGTATTCTATCTTAATTTAGGATCGTTTTTGAAATCTGATGGCCCGTAGATAACTTCACATTTAAGATGCCCTCATTAAAGAGATATGATTTTCTAAGCTACAAGGTTGATCTTAAATCGAGCTTTAAGTCACTTGAAAAATTAAAAATAAATATAAAAATCCAAATCAAATCAAATTTTATAATTAACTTTCCCTAAATTTTTTGGAGAACTTTGAGTTCTACTCAGCTTCACCTTCTGCCCTACGCCAACTAAATTCATCAAGATCAGGTGCAAACTCCCCGAAACTAGACAGATCAGAAGGTGACAGTGTCTCTTTAGATGAAGAAAGAATGAATAAACGGCGTGGTTTGGAAGTGTTTAGTCAGGTCAAGCAACGACCAAAAATTACTTATACGCCTGGTATGGAATTTTAAATTGTCTTCAATATGGGATAACTTTTCTATACTCGTCGAGTTATGATACGACTAAAAGAAGCTTGACCTCCGCCTCAGTACTCCGGATAGTCTCACACCCACTCTGGATTCACACTTAGTCTTCCTCCTATTTAGGGTGCTCCTTATATAAAATATGGAGAGAGGGGGCTGGAAACATTTAGAGGGTTGGAGGGTATCTCATAATGAAGTTATGTGTATAAAGCTAATAAATAAATTTTTTAAATTAATCAGATGGCAGAAGAATGATTGGAGGTAAACTGGAAGCTCCAGAAAGCAAGCCTGACGAGCTTTGGGGAAAGCTGATAGTTGATTCCGTAACAAAAAGAAAATTTTTTGGGAGTCAAGAACAAGGTAGTAGCAAACAAAATGACAACGAGGAGAGTCAGATAAAAATAAAAAACGAAAATCAGAGTGAGTTTAAAATTTTCTAAATATCCTACTAATGAATTAAAGACATTCAGAACGAAAATTCTCATTTGGATCACTCTTCACGAGGCTGAGAAAAGGGACTATTACAAATAATGGTTCAGATAGAAATACCTCACCAGATAAAGTACAAAAAAAGAAAACATCGATAATTTAAATTTTTTAAAATTTTAAAAATTAGAAATTTTATATTTCTTTTTTCATTCGAATTTTTATTTTCAATTAAATCTTTAATAAATTTAAATTTTGATAAAAAATATTCATGATATAGGTTTTAAAAGAGCGATCAAGTTGAAAAAACAATATTCACAATGCTAATAATGTTATAAATAAGACTACTATAGAGATCGGACCGTACCGTACTACGGCCGTATTTTTCGGTATTTATCGGTATTCCGTATCGGGTGTAAGCACGAATACGGTACGGCAAAATTTTGAAGTTGATCGGTATTTTTAGGTATTGGTATTTTTCGGAACGGAAACAAAACATAATACCGATCGATAAAAATTTTTCAAGTTTTATTTTAAGCGAAAAAAGACTCTCGGCCTTTGATAATTTTCAAAATTTTCGCCTGTGGCTTGCTGAATGTATAAATAACTTACTGTATATTAATAGGGTATAGTTCGTCTTGGTATATTAGATACTATATTTAATGGTGATTCGAATGGTATATCGTAACCCAATTCGCGATGATTACTTCAATGGGCAAATCCACTTTGAAAATATCAGTCAAAAAAAATAACTCAAAATTATTAATCCATAAATAACTTACTGTATATTAATAGGGTATAGTTCGTCTTGGTATATTAGATACTATATTTAATGGTGATTCGAATGGTATATCGTAACCCAATTCGCGATGATTACTTCAATGGGCAAATCCACTTTGAAAATATCAGTCAAAAAAAAATAACTCAAAATTATTAATCCATAAATAACTTACTGTATATTAATAGGGTATAGTTCGTCTTGGTATATTAGATACTATATTTAATGGTGATTCGAATGGTATATCGTAAACCAATTCGCGATGATTACTTCACTAGGCAAATCCACTTTGAAAATATCAGTCAAAAAAAAATAACTCAAAATTATTAATCCATAAATAACTTACTGTATATTAATAGGGTATAGTTCGTCTTGGTATATTAGATACTATATTTAATGGTGATTCGAATGGTATATCGTAACCCAATTCGCGATGATTACTTCACTAGGCAAATCCACTTTGAAAATATCAGTCAAAAAAAAATAACTCAAAATTATTAATCCATAAATAACTTACTGTATATTAATAGGGTATAGTTCGTCTTGGTATATTAGATACTATATTTAATGGTGATTCGAATGGTATATCGTAACCCAATTCGCGATGATTACTTCAATGGGCAAATCCACTTTGAAAATATCAGTCAAAAAAAAATAACTCAAAATTATTAATCCATAAATAACTTACTGTATATTAATAGGGTATAGTTCGTCTTGGTATATTAGATACTATATTTAATGGTGATTCGAATGGTATATCGTAACCCAATTCGCGATGATTACTTCAATGGGCAAATCCACTTTGAAAATATCAGTCAAAAAAAAATAACTCAAAATTATTAATCCATAAATAACTTACTGTATATTAATAGGGTATAGTTCGTCTTGGTATATTAGATACTATATTTAATGGTGATTCGAATGGTATATCGTAACCCAATTCGCGATGATTACTTCAATGGGCAAATCCACTTTGAAAATATCAGTCAAAAAAAAATAACTCAAAATTATTAATCCATAAATAACTTACTGTATATTAATAGGGTATAGTTCGTCTTGGTATATTAGATACTATATTTAATGATGATTCGAATGGTATATCGTAACCCAATTCGCGATGATTACTTCAATGGGCAAATCCACTTTGAAAATATCAGTCAAAAAAAAATAACTCAAAATTATTAATCCATAAATAACTTACTGTATATTAATAGGGTATAGTTTGTCTTGGTATATTAGATACTATATTTAATGTTGATTCGAATGGTATATCGTAAACCAATTCGCGATGATTACTTCACTAGGCAAATCCACTTTGAAAATATCAGTCAAAAAAAATAACTCAAAATTATTAATCCATAAATAACTTACTGTATATTAATAGGGTATAGTTCGACTTGGTATATTAGATACTATATTTAATGGTGATTCGAATGGTATATCGTAACCCAATTCGCGATGATTACTTCACTAGGCAAATCCACTTTGAAAATATCAGTCAAAAAAAAATAACTCAAAATTATTAATCCATAAATAACTTACTGTATATTAATAGGGTATAGTTCGTCTTGGTATATTAGATACTATATTTAATGGTGATTCGAATGGTATATCGTAAACCAATTCGCGATGATTACTTCACTAGGCAAATCCACTTTGAAAATATCAGTCAAAAAAAATAACTCAAAATTATTAATCCATAAATAACTTACTGTATATTAATAGGGTATAGTTCGTCTTGGTATATTAGATACTATATTTAATGGTGATTCGAATGGTATATCGTAACCCAATTCGCGATGATTACTTCACTAGGCAAATCCACTTTGAAAATATCAGTCAAAAAAAAATAACTCAAAATTATTAATCCATAAATAACTTACTGTATATTAATAGGGTATAGTTCGTCTTGGTATATTAGATACTATATTTAATGGTGATTCGAATGGTATATCGTAAACCAATTCGCGATGATTACTTCACTAGGCAAATCCACTTTGAAAATATCAGTCAAAAAAAAATAACTCAAAATTATTAATCCATAAATAACTTACTGTATATTAATAGGGTATAGTTCGTCTTGGTATATTAGATACTATATTTAATGGTGATTCGAATGGTATATCGTAAACCAATTCGCGATGATTACTTCACTAGGCAAATCCACTTTGAAAATATCAGTCAAAAAAAAATAACTCAAAATTGTTAATCCATAAATAACTTACTGTATATTAATAGGGTATAGTTCGTCTTGGTATATTAGATACTATATTTAATGGTGATTCGAATGGTATATCGTAAACCAATTCGCGATGATTACTTCACTAGGCAAATCCACTTTGAAAATATCAGTCAAAAAAAATAACTCAAAATTATTAATCCATAAATAACTTACTGTATATTAATAGGGTATAGTTCGTCTTGGTATATTAGATACTATATTTAATGGTGATTCGAATGGTATATCGTAACCCAATTCGCGATGATTACTTCACTAGGCAAATCCACTTTGAAAATATCAGTCAAAAAAAAATAACTCAAAATTATTAATCCATAAATAACTTACTGTATATTAATAGGGTATAGTTCGTCTTGGTATATTAGATACTATATTTAATGGTGATTCGAATGGTATATCGTAACCCAATTCGCGATGATTACTTCACTGGGCAAATCCACTTTGAAAATATCAGTCAAAAAAAAATAACTCAAAATTATTAATCCATAAATAACTTACTGTATATTAATAGGGTATAGTTCTTCTTGGTATATTAAATTCTATATTTAATGATGATTCGAATGGTATATCGTAACCCAATTCGCGATGATTACTTCATTGGGCAAATCCACTTTGAAAATTTTAGTGAAAAAAAAATACCCCAAAATTTTTAATCCATAAATAACTTACTGTATATTAATAGAGTATAGTTCGTCTTGGTATATTAAATTCTATATTTAATGATGATTCGAATGGTATATCGTAACCCAATTCGCGATGATTACTTCATTGGGCAAATCCACTTTGAAAATTTTAGTGAAAAAAAAATACCCCAAAATTTTTAATCCATAAATAACTTACTGTATATTAATAGGATATAGTTCTTCTTGGTATATTAAATTCTATATTTAATGATGATTCGAATGGTATATCGTAACCCAATTCGCGATGATTACTTCATTGGGCAAATCCACTTTGAAAATTTTAGTGAAAAAAAAATACCCCAAAATTTTTAATCCATAAATAACTTACTGTATATTAATAGGATATAGTTCTTCTTGGTATATTAAATTCTATATTTAATGATGATTCGAATGGTATATCGTAACCCAATTCGCGATGATTACTTCATTGGGCAAATCCACTTTGAAAATTTTAGTGAAAAAAAAATACCCCAAAATTTTTAATCCATAAATAACTTACTGTATATTAATAGAGTATAGTTCGTCTTGGTATATTAAATTCTATATTTAATGATGATTCGAATGGTATATCGTAACCCAATTCGCGATGATTACTTCATTGGGCAAATCCACTTTGAAAATTTTAGTGAAAAAAAAATACCCCAAAATTTTTAATCCATAAATAACTTACTGTATATTAATAGGATATAGTTCTTCTTGGTATATTAAATTCTATATTTAATGATGATTCGAATGGTATATCGTAACCCAATTCGCGATGATTACTTCATTGGGCAAATCCACTTTGAAAATTTTAGTGAAAAAAAAATACCCCAAAATTTTTAATCCATAAATAACTTACTGTATATTAATAGAGTATAGTTCGTCTTGGTATATTAAATTCTATATTTAATGATGATTCGAATGGTATATCGTAACCCAATTCGCGATGATTACTTCATTGGGCAAATCCACTTTGAAAATTTTAGTGAAAAAAAAATACCCCAAAATTTTTAATCCATAAATAACTTACTGTATATTAATAGGATATAGTTCTTCTTGGTATATTAAATTCTATATTTAATGATGATTCGAATGGTATATCGTAACCCAATTCGCGATGATTACTTCATTGGGCAAATCCACTTTGAAAATTTTAGTGAAAAAAAAATACCCCAAAATTTTTAATCCATAAATAACTTACTGTATATTAATAGAGTATAGTTCGTCTTGGTATATTAAATTCTATATTTAATGATGATTCGAATGGTATATCGTAACCCAATTCGCGATGATTACTTCATTGGGCAAATCCACTTTGAAAATTTTAGTGAAAAAAAAATACCCCAAAATTTTTAATCCATAAATAACTTACTGTATATTAATAGGATATAGTTCTTCTTGGTATATTAAATTCTATATTTAATGATGATTCGAATGGTATATCGTAACCCAATTCGCGATGATTACTTCATTGGGCAAATCCA